GATATGATATATTGTGTTCCATGTAGCCACGAAAAAATTAAACACGATTCATTTCGACCAAGTTAACTATACAGTGAACAACATCAAGACTCAAATGATTTATAATACGATATTGCCACGTAAGTTTAATATTCTGTACTCATTTTTTTTTTTCATAATATTATATATAATATAATAATTTATTATGATTATTAATACAAATTCCATTATAATTTCTAGAAGATGAAAAGGTCAGGTAAAATAACAGATTTGTTCCAATTAAGAACAAATAAATTGCGAAAGACAACTGATACTAACAATATAGGAAATATCGAAAGCGTCGAAAATGAAAATGTAGTTTCTACGTCAATAAATTTCGATTCTCAAGACATTGGTAGTAAAAATTTTGATTTTTTGAGTTTTGAACTTATTTTTAATTTGTAGTCACCGATTCGATAATTTCCTATAATCAATATTGTTTGTCATAAATAAATATATTTATATAGGTACTGATAAAGTGAAATACCCGCATGAGGCCACGAGTCTCGAAACTCCAATATTAAAAGTAATAACACTAAGTAATAAAATTATTATTAAAAGAAGTGTTAGAAAGACTCGAAAACGATTCAGCAATAAGCATAGAAAAATGTACAGATATATTTTCCCAGGTCTCAGTACAGAATGATTTAATATTTCTAAAATCGCATTTTTTCGTTCTTGTTCAAACGATAAAAAATTTAGAAAAATCAAATTTACCATTAATTGAGTCGGTTGAAATGGTACAAAATGTTATATCAAGTATGCAAAGTATTCCTGGCACCAAAGGTTCTGAAATAAAAAATAAAATGCTACAGCTTCAGCAAAAAAATAAAGGATTTAAATTAATGATACAAATTGTAAAAGTTTTAACTGGGGACAACAACGTGACACTTCCTCAAGATGTATCTCCTAGTATAGCTACAGACCTGAAAAATGCTCCTACAACGTCTGTCGATGTTGAGAGACCATTCAGCGTAGGTATATAAGACAATAATCACGGACCGCCGTACTAACTTTATTCCGGAAAATTTAGAAAAATATATTATTGTTCATTCCTTTAAAAACATTGTATAATTTTTTTTTATGCTAATGTTTTGCATGTAATATAACATATAACTATGTAACATAACTACATAAGATAATATAGGTAATTATTAATTAATAATTATATAAATAATAATAAATTATAAATTCATAATCATAATTATTTATCATATTGCATGTTTGATATAAGTTATAACTAAATAACAAATAAAAAAGTTTTAAGATATTATTTATATTTTTTGCTTATTAGTTACTATTATCAATATTTTTCAGAATATTTTGAGAATATTAGGAATATTTTGAGAATATTAAGAATATTTTTAGGAATATTTCATAAATTTCAACTGCATATAAACATCATCTTTCAAACGTTTTAACAGAATATAAATCCGGACTCTAAATATAAGAGATAAACATGCATAGTGTCAAACATGTATACCCATCAAACACGATAACAGAATAATAATTATTCTCTTGGATAAAGGGATAAGAATGATAAGGTATTATTACCCCTATAAGGTAAAAAATCAATACCTACATATATTTGTAGCTTTTATTTTTTATTTTAATTAATATAAAGAATAATAAAATGCATAATGTATTTTAATAATACAACTAAAAACTAATTAATAATAAAAGTTTAAAGTAAATAAATGTACAAATTATATCGTTTGAATAAAATTATATAGTAATAAACGTATACGATTTGAAATGCTTGTTTGTAATGGAATGCATTTTATAATAGTATTATTATAAACATGTATTGTATTATACTTTATTTAAAATATCTAAAAATTAAAACATAAATACAGAGATGGAAAATATAATAATTTGTTTTTCATTTATACATAATACATAAATAGATAATAATTATTTAACAAGATTAAAAAAATTGACTAAAGCTCGAAAATTGTTCCTAAAATGAAAATGAAAATGAATGTACAACAAAAGTAGTAAACAATGAGAGTGTAAGTTCGACGTTTGTTTTTTTTTTTTATTAAATTTAGTTTTTTTTAAAAAATAAAGCAATTCTATATTTTTTGTTGAAGTCGAATGTACAAAAAACATGCTAAATATAATATATATAATAATAAGGGCACACTATATTAAAATATTATTAACATTATATTTAAACTTTAATGATCACAGTAGCAACGTTTGTGATTTATAAAATATATAAATTACAGTCGCGATAGACGAATCTATATTATAAACATTGTTTGCACTAGTCTATAGCCAAAAGTGTCCGTATAAAAATCAAATGCGCCTAATAAAGTAAAATATCATAAAAAAAGAAAATTTCTGTTGTATTTATAACGAATCGATGTGTAAAATGACCCCACCGATCTAAAAACTTACAATGATAGTTATTATTTAATTTTTTTCCATTTTTCCATTTTTTATTTTTGTTTTATTATTTTTATAAGTCTAGTACCTGTAAATGAGAAAATTCGTCAATACAATTGAAATTGTTATCTAAACATAACTATCTATATTATATTCCTACTACCTCAATCTATGTAATATACGAACTGATCCTCATAATATGGATTATCGTTTTTATAGAAAGAAATAAAAAGTAGGTACATTCACGATGTGGTAGAAATAGTTACTACATAAAGGTATAGTTGTAATACTCGTGTTTAAATAAAATGATTTATTTTTGTCGTATTGATTAAACGAACATTTTATAAATATATAGTTTAGAAGATATACGTCGAAAAAAATTATTATTATAATCACATTATCAGGTTAAGCTAATAATATTATTATTTATTACTAACTGTGTTTAAAAGGCACTTATTTAGACCCAAGATTGGAGATTGCTTTACAAATGTTTTCCAATATTATGCATTGGTCAATTCATAACAAATCAAATATCCACTATTCAGAAGGATGTTTGAAAATTTTAAACAAAAAATGAATGGATTTTTTTCATATTTATTCCACAAAGAAAATATTTTTAGAAAAAAAAGATAAACATATAACTTGAAAAACGCGAAATGTAATCGTGTTCATATAAACTTTTTTCCTGTAGGTACTCAGCTTAAAACTCAATGTGCAGACTGTGAAATGACTCCAATAACGACTATAAACTTATTTGTAAATATATTTTGGTATCTATTGCACTATACTTATATTGGCTATATTATACCACTGAATAAAGACAATTTAAGAACTCTTTTTGGGATACTCTGGAAAAATATTCATTTAGGTAAAAATATCAGAAACAACTAAGTATATAGGTACTAAACGTATTATTAAATATAAAATGAAAAAAAACAGTTACTTAAATAATAATAGTTATCACTTATAAATCACCTATTGTCTTGTTTCAGGGTACACAAAACTAATAGGGAGCAATAGAACAGTAAATTAAATTAAATATTTTATTTATTTCCGATTCGTAATTGAACGTAAGCGGGTTGTTTTCATTTGTAAATGATAATGTTGAAAACACTGTAAAGTACCTATACACATGAAGATTTTATTTAGAATTTAGTAATTGTTAAAAAAATGTCAAGTAGTCAGCTTCTTATTTGTTAGCCTTGACAGATTAAGCTATATAAAGTTTTAAATATTATTTTTATTTTTTAGATTAAAAATCTATTTTTCTTTAACTTGTAATTTGTATGATATTCAATCTAATATAATAGTTGATTAAAACTATATGACATTATTGGTGTTCGAATGAAATGAGAACATATTTTTTCGAATACATAACAATACGGTACACTCAATTTTAACTTTTATTATAATAATTTTTACCTATACATATTTTTTTTTAGAATTTTTTGATATAACGTTTTAAAATTATCCTTGTTATTGGAGGTTATTGGTCCCAATAAAAAAAGAAAATGAAAAAAAAAGTATTCTATTATGAAAAATAATATGTTTTAATTTTAGTCTTATACTTGATTGTTTAATTTTCAAACTAATTTTGGTCACTGTGCGAGCCGGGAAACTTTCAGGGATACGGTTTACAGATTAAAATAAGAAAATATATTTCATATAAATAAAGAAGTTTTTGAAACTTATCGATTTCGAAATGTAAAATAAAAATAAACTGGGTAGATGTTGATTATATTAAAGGTTTGGATTTGTCGTTATTATTATTCTTCGTTTGAACACCGAGTAAATGTTTTTAATTATTGCTTTTTTGAATTACTATCAAATAAACGTTTGAAGAATGTTTACGCTCTGCCACATAAATAAATATAATTTCAATAAATAACAGATTATTTTATTAAAACTATACCTAACACCTATAAGCTCAATTTGTTTTTACCAACTACAACATATTAATATCCATGTAACCCTAAGAATGTATAAAATTCGAATTAATTAAGCCTAAAGGAATCACCAGTCGTTATATAAAAAAAAACTAACAACTAAAATTAATTTTATATTTAAGTGTTTACAAGAGATATTGATTTAAGTGATTTACACTAAATTACTGACAAAGCATATTTTAACAATTTATAATTGTTAGAATAATTAAATATATTTATAATATTAATTCAAGTACGATTTTTGTATTAAATAGACATAGAAAAATAGTGTTTTAGATTTATTTAACGATAATTATATTTAATTATAATATATTATATTAAATTTTATTGTGCATTAGCCTAAAATTAGGTTCCGTCATAAGAATGCTTCAGACAAGGGTTCTCATAAAAATATTTATTTTCGTCTAAATAGTATTATTATCGTTATTATTATTATTTGTATTTATTATTACAGTTTTTGTCATTCAACAATGACCACGTCATCGAAAGGATAAAATTACCAGATAAAGCTTTTTTTAGTCAAACGGATATGTGTGTATATTAATTTTGCGTGACTGTAAGAAGTTTATTTTGTTCCTTAATAAAATAATAACATTGGTCGGGTGATCTGTGAAAATGAGACGTTTTGATATTCTTTTAAAACGTTTAAACTTGTTCTTCTAAGGCCGGAAACTGTTGTCTGTGCGTCTGGACGTTTAAAAGGTACACCAACTGATCCAGCTTCTTGTCCATAATGGATAGCTAAAACATAAAACAGGGATGGAAAATGTACTGAATATCTAATCAATCTAAAAATAATCAAATTATGAATAACACTCGTGTGGTGTTGGGAAGGACTCCCACCCCCTAACTGAAATATGACATTTTGTAAATAGTGGATATGGCCAAACAAATAATATATTTTCTATAATTTTTATTGTTTAGATAATTCAATTTTACCTGCTGTTCTAGCCTATACAAACGAGCACCAATTGTCATAGGCTTAACATTGCCTGATCGGTCAATTCCTGCCAGGTAGCTTCCTGGCTTTCCGAGAGTTTGATCTAACCTTCTTTGCAATTCCTGAAAAAAAAAAAACGATCTTTATTAATGAGACCAATGTTCACGAGGAATGTGCACATATAAATTATAAATGGTCGTTTTTTTAGGAACCAATAAAACCATTAGTTTTGATAATTAATGTCGGTAATATACGATAGCGTACGATTGTCCCTTTTAGTAAAACGATTGCGTACGAATTCTCTACCTAGGTCTTAAAAACGGTACCGCGAAAAAATAACCCCGGAAATTTAGACCCCGAAAAAAAGAACCCCGAAAAAATAACCCCGCGAAAAAATAACCACCGACAAAATAACCCCATAGGCCAAATTGCCATAATATGAGATTTTGCAAATTAATCTCAAATCAATACAAAATGTATAACATACCTATTGGCTATTACCTACGTGTACAATATTAATTTTGGATTCAATGATAAATTATTGTATATAGTATATACCCACGATAAAAACAATTCAGAGCTCTACATCAGAACTCTACATCATACGAATTGAAAAATATAGTGCATTTTTTACTGTTTTATACTGTTTACTTGAAAAAAAAAATCAATCTATTTACGAAATAATATTCAAAGCTATTTTATCAGTCTGCGAAAAGAACGATCTTTTTCCAGATCCACAAAATATAAAAATAGACTTCGAAAAGGCATTAATAAATGCATCAAAAAATGTATTAGGTGAACATTTAATAATAAACGGATGTTTCTATCACCTATGCCAGAGTACTCATAGAAAATTGGCAGAATTAGGATTAAAAAAAAAAATACCAAGAAGATTATGATTTTAATGAATTCTGTGGTACCTACCTATGTTAGATGGCTTGGATTTTTTACCACTAAATAGGTTACAAGAAGGTGTTGAATATTTAAAATTAATTATTCCTCCGAGGAGTTATTTAAATATTTTGACGAAACCTACGCGTGATGTGTAACAATACTTCGAATAAATAAAAAATTAAATAAATAAATAAATAATAAATTTTTATTATAGGTTTATTTTTTCCGTGGTTATTTTTTCGTGGGGTTATTTTTTCGGGGTTCTTTTTTTCAGGGTTATTTTTTCCGGGGTTATTTTTTAGGCAAATCCTTAAAAACATTACGATTGCGTATGAAAATGAGTGCAACGTTGCCAACATGTACTATTAAATTAAATTAAATTAAATTAAATTATTATTAAATAATAATGATATAATTAAAAAAAATCATTATTATAATATTATAGTCAATTAAAAACAATATAAAATATTTGGGTATATAAAATACAAAAATAATACTCATAAGCTATAAATTAAAACGTTGGTATCGATAACCAGTTCCTCATAAAAAAACATTTTTATAGTCAACTAAAAACTTAAATTATACAAAATACAAATTATAAGTTATAAATCAAAACCTTGGTATCGATAACCAGTCCCTGATAAAAAATTTAATATATTAACATCTATTTTAAATTGGTCGTATAGTTTTATAACATGGTTAATTTTTTGCATATCTTTAGATGGAATAGCTTTTTTTATAATTTTTAAAGAATTCTCCATAGTTACTGCACTATTACTTACTAATACTAAAACTAAAACCAGTGACTTATTGAATGACAAGTTGGTCGCATACTAGTACAACGATGTTAAAGTGTGACACGCGCCAGGAAATCCAATATAATGATCGGCATTTAATCTTATCTCATAGTATTTTATAGATTACCAAAAAGTACCTATTGGCCTGGAAATAATAGTCTCGGTAACGTTTATGAAATTGTATCAAATATAAGCAATCGTTTCCTAAAATAAGTTATATTACAAATTTTCACGATTTTGAACAACGGCACCGTTGGACTAAGTATTGGTAGGTAGAATGTACGCAATCGGAATAATGAAAAAGGTCCATACGGAATCGTATCATACGCAATCGTAACGCACCCATTAATGTTTTAAACTTTTAAATGTGGACAAATTAATACATATTTAACTATTACATTAGGAAAACAGTTAAATTTTAAATTTACCTTAATCTATTTGATATTATAAATTAAACTATAAATTGTTAAAAACCGACGAATAGAAAAAATTACCCATTTCAAAGTGATTCATAATATTTCAGCGTTTTAAAAGGGATAATAAAATTATATAGAATACATGGTCAGTAGGTTTTGTTATTGGTTTTGCTTTATATTATTTAGTTCATTAGTTGAGTGTTGATGGGATTATAAAAAGTAGTTTACTTTATTTATTTATTTATTATTTGACCCACTTGTCGAAAAAATAAAATACCACATTGTATCTATGATATACTATATTATATATTTTGCTAATTGCTTATATTATACCAATGCCATATAAGTATGAGTGTACCAGTACCTATTAACAACACTTAACAAATGTAATTAATTATAATTTTTGTTTGGACTTTGGTGTATAGTTAAAAACTATATAAATATGCTCCGGAACATCTAAAACTTAGTTTTGTTAAAAGCTATTAAAATTTTGTTTTTTGCATTAACAATGTAACAAGTGCTTGCTTGAGATGGAAGTGCTGTTAAAGAAAAAATTAACTAAAAATTATAATATTATTTAGTATTATGAAATGGGTAAATCAAATTTTTAATGTACTATTATTTATATAATATGTATTGTCATTTGTCGTATATGTATTAACTATTAACATAACCTTTTGGAATATATAATTTCTTATATATTTTATTAAGATTTTTGAAACACTGCATTTTTTTTTACCTTTATTCGAACCATCATATTTAAATGACCTTGACTGTATTGTTCGATAACATCACGTACATCGTATGGTTTTCTAGCTTGTTGAAATTTTCTTCTGGCTACAAAATATTTGATCTTTCTAATGGCTCGAATAGCATTTTTGTGTACGTCGGTTAACCTATATAACAAATATTAATTTAAAACATATTTGAATTTGTTTTAACTATACACAAAGGTTCTATGTTTCGATTTAATAACTTTGAGATAACAAAAAATAATTATAAAGTAATTTAAATTTGTACTTTTTACTAATCTGTAAAACCGTTAAATAGTTTCATTAAATAAATACTTTTAAATGAAAAACTAAATGAACTTATTATCCGTTTTTGAAGTTTTTCATTAAGCTAAACCGTCGGACATAAGTCATAGGACCTACACTTAGTTACTCATTATCGCATTGTAATAATTATATTTTTATAATATCATACTCGAAAATAATTTAGGTTCTTTTGATGGCACATAATATCATAGATTAAAATGTCTAACTCACGTAGTCACTCGCTCTGGTTCCATTTCCAAGTCGACTTCGTCGCTTGCAGCTTCCGTCACGGAACTCGTCTGGCTGACATATCCTCTAGCTTCTCTTCTAACGCGATTTGGAGTGGCTAAACATGACGGAAAACACACAAATGATAACGATTATAACAATAATTATAATACAAATATTGGGAGAATATATTATTATAATGAGAATGAGGTAAATTTAAATAAATCATGCAATTAATATAATAAAAAGGAATGTAAAATTGTTGTGTGTAGGTACCTACTTATCCATTTTATAATGTATACTTAATGTTAAGTTTTTTATTGATGAATTTAAAAATTATTATTATTTATTTTTAAATTTAAATTCAAAATTGACTCATAAAAATATGTTCCTCTTCCATATACCTACTTGGAAAAATGTAAATGTTCTCATATTATTCCATTCAAATAATTAATATTAATTTCAGTGAAAATGTATGTAATATATAATATATGTTATACAATTTAGGTCAATACATTAAGTATTAACGATTATTATAAAATAATTTTGAATATTGTACTGACATAATTTTGGAAAATGTATCTGAAATTTGAATAATTATTGACGGTAAGATATCCGAAATAGATTAAAAATTAAAGGTCGTGAAATACCATGTTAATATTATGTCACAAATTATATATTTCTTAACATTACAATATTCATAGTTAAATAGATAAATTATTGTTAGTGACATATTTTTTTTCATACAGGTAGGGAATGAAAAATGATTTATAAATTAAGTATTTGTAGACTGTAGTTAGTTAAATGGAAGCAAATTACATAGTCTAATAATTGAAGGAATGATAGAATTAACACGACCAAGATGAAGACCAAGAATAAAATAAATAAGCCTAATAGTAAAAATGACCTAACCTAACCTAACCTCCTACAGGGAGATAAAATATATGGCGAATGACAGGTAAAAATGGAGAGGTTAATTGTTGTGATTGCATTTGATAAAACCAATCTTCGGATTGAAAAAAAAAATAGTTATTACATTATCTTACAGCATATAATAGCTTTACTTAAATGATATGGAATTTTAAATTAACATATTTTTTTTAATAAATAAGATGTTACCATATTGATTTGATAATTTTAGATTATATTTTATAGAATGAAATGTTTCTTGTATGCAATCTATGAACATTTAATGTAGGTATTTATAAAAAAAATTAAAAACTTGGTTGACACTTCACACTAGACTTAGTGTTAGCCCCACCACTATATTCCATAAATCTATTAAAGCAATGTTCTTAGTTGTGACCTTCATAATCGAGTGTGATATAAACAGTCTTGTAAACAATACTTGCCTATGCGTAAATATACGTAAATAATATATAGGTACCTATACGAAATTTCAAAATTTTAACTTTCTAAATTCTGATATTTAATTTTCTGGGAAATTATGGTCTACAGTATCACTTTCTGTAATACAACGTTCTGTGATTATAATTTCAGGCTTTAAACTTTATGGAATTTAATTTTCTGGAAAATTACGGTCGACGTTATCACTTTCTGTATAACTACGTTCTGTGATTATAATTTCAGGTTTTTAACTTTCTGGGATAAAAATTCTGTATACATATTTTATGTTCATTTTATTTTCAATATGAAAACAATTCTGGAACATTAATTTCCATGTGTTTTGTTTTCTGTAATTTTTCTTTCTGTCATTTTATTTTCTATCACTATATTTTTCTGTTAAATTTAATTTATGGATTACTAACGTTCGGTTCATTTATTTTCGGGAAAATGATACGTTCCCGTTATTTCTGCGTCTCTGGAAAAAAAACTTTACTGCTCTTGTGTTTTTCTTGACGTTGCCCAAGCCTTCGACCGGGTTTGGCGCGAAGGCTTGCAATTCAAACTTAAAAATTTCTCCCTTCGTCATTATTTCTACTAATTTAATCTTATCTAACTGATACACTTTCAAGTCCAATATAACTCGTCGACGTCCGGAATCGCACCAATCAAAGCTGGTGTACCACAAGGTGGAATACTCTCCCCTTTCTCTTTAACATTTACGTAGCCGACCAACCCACCATGCGACAAACTATCGTAGCTGATTATATGCCGACGATAAAGTCATTTTATCTATCAATGAAGATCCTGTAATTGCATCATCAAACTTACAAATGCATCTCAATCACTTGTCTAAGTGGTATGAAAAATGGCGTGTCCAAATTAACCAAAATAAATCGGTACATACAACGTTCACCCTTAAACAAGGAATATGCCCAAACATTACCCTTAACAACATACCAATTCCCACATCCGACACGGTCAGATACTTAGGGCTAATCCTTGACAAAAGACTGACGTGGAAAAACCACCTTCAATCCAAAAGGCTATCCTTAAATAATCGCATGCGTATTCTCAGACCCCTGTTAATTAGAAATAAGTGTTCCCCCCTTAACATCAAACTACTAATCTACAAATCTCTTCTCAAGCCAATGTGGACGTATGGACTACAATTAAGGGGTGCGGCAAAAAATCAAATATTAACAGAATCCAAACATTCCAAAATATTTCGCTCCAACGATTGTCCAATGCTCCCCCCTATACACCTAATCTAGCCCTTCATAACGATCTCTGTATGAGAACAATAGAAGCGGAAGCACGCATTTTCTATAGACGTTTTCATAAACGACTTCAAAATCATACAAATCCTCTTATAAAAGACATTTCTATCCTTACACTCCCAGGAAACCCAAACCGTAGGTTAAAAAGAAAGTGGTGCCGTGACCTTTTACAAAACTTTAATGTCTAACTCTCTGAATAATAATAATATAAACAATTAAAAAAAAAAAAAAAAAAAATTTCATTAGCCAAGCCAAGAACCACTAATGGGTGGCTGCTTATTCAAAATAATCATGTTCTATTACTCTTATCATATAAACTTATTGTGCTTCAAATAGTATAGATTGTTTATGCCAAAAAAAAAAAAAAAAAAAAGAAAAGATTTAAAAAAAAATGTGTTAAGTGGTCCACTCTGGCACTGTCACGTATGAAGTAGGTAATCACTTCAATAAGGATTACCACTGTTGATTAAACCGTTTTAATTCAATGGTAGATACCTACTTGTTGTATTGGTAATTAAAAAGTGATTTATTTAGAATTATTTACTGAATAAGTAATAATGGTAGGTATGCAATAAACATATTTATATAAACCTATAACTATGAGACTAAATCTCTTAAAGTCATGCTTGTTTTTAAACAAATGTACATATTTAACATATTATAATTATTTGTTTTATATAATTTTTCCTTAGCCATATTGTCCAAAATATGTTCTACACATTTGTAGCCTGCGTATAGGTAATTATTGCAACAATATGATGCTTTCATTTTTATTTTTTAAAGAATTCTATAAGTATTTCAATTTTAGATATTTTATTTATTTATTTATAATAAAGAAGTAATAACCTTTTTATGTGAGCAATATCAGGTTTACATTTTTTAAGTATTTTACAGTAAGAACTAAAATTAAAACAATAGTAATGAAAAACAGATACAAAATAATAATAATTTAACAGCAGTAAAATGATGATAATTGTAATGATAATTGTAACAAAGTTATTATTATTATTATTATTATTATAGCTTAAAAATCCATGGCAACTATTTGTAAACAAAAATTTCCATCTGAAATCTCAAAATTCCCGTTTGAGCACTTCCCGGGGTTGGTCCTCTCCCTTTTTAAACTAGCCTATCTTTTGTGTTTGGCCAAAATACACACATTGTAAAAATGTCATCAAGATCGGTCCAGTAGTTTCGTTGTTTATCCCGGACAAAGACGTGACACGAGATTTTTATATATATAAGATAGTAAAAGATAACAAATTCAATAAACATAAAAATATATATATATATAAAAATTTATTTGTATTAAACTATACACATTTTGAATTCTAACAGCAGAACAAGTTTAAATAAACAATAATTTAATACAGTAGTTGAAAATCATGAAAATTGGTTAGTTTGGACTTTTTCACTATAATTGCCACTGTTAAGCACATTAGTCGGTAGATGTAATTTATAAATAAATATATTTTATGATTAGTATTTGGTACCCAGCTTAAGGGGATTCGATATCGTGATTTTGTTTTTGTCTAACACATGCGCGACATAGTATTTTAGACGTGTTTTTTGCCAAACATTCCAATTGATGTATTGAAGCGATAATAATTCTGAAAACAGATTTGAATTTTTCGTCAAGTCTACTTGAAATCGACTTTCCCACATGTTTGATATTATTCCCAAAATTCCTATAAATATCATATTAAAAAAGAGAAAGTCGATTTCAAGTAGACTTGACGACAAATTCAAATCTGTTTTTAGAATTCTTATCGCTTCATTAGATCAATTGGTATAATTGGCAAAGAACCAGTCTAAAATCCTATGTCGTGTGTGTGTTAGACAAAAGCAGAAAATCACAGCATCGAATCCCCTTAACTTAAAATAAAATGTATCGTAATATAAGATTCAATTAACTATTTAAAATTGTTATCACCAGATTCAAGCTAAAGTTGCAGGCATAAAAATATGTTAAATTAATTTTATAATAGTAAATCTTGATCAGGTTTTTGTTTTTAATAAGGATTTTTTTTTTTAGTTAAACCAGTTAATATTTAATCATGAAATTTATAGTCCTGGAAATAATATGCATATAATGCAACAATCATCTTTATTCGATAATACAACATTGGTAATTGAGAATAATATTATATTCTTAATACATTTTAAATAATGCTTCTACTCTATTCAAAAACTAGCTAAAAGTTGAAGTTAAGTTAATTAAAAAATAATCCATCAAGTTTCATTTTTTTGTTTTTATTGTTTTATACATAAATATTAATATTAAAATGGGGGACAGAGTGGCCAAGCAGACCACAGCATCAGTAGTAACGCGCACTGTCAGGTTAATTATTTTCATTTACTTATCCACATTTGCCTCTATGTGTTATGTACACTACATTACTATTCTGCTTTTACCTCTGTGGTATACTTACGGGGATGTACTAGAGGATATCAGCGAGCCTTTTTTGTTTTCTCTCACTGGCCCACTCGCAACAGACAAAACGCATTTACCCTTTGTTTTTAAGTTTTTGAATAATCTAATAGGGTAAAATCCCCCATTTCAAAAACGATAGAAAATAATTTTTTTGATGGTCTAACATATCAATTTGACTGAATATTGTCTCAAAAACAATTTAAAGAAATTATAAAATTTTTTTTTTTATTTTGGATTTCAAATACAAAGTCAAATAATAAAATATAATTTAATATGTTATATTATCAAATTTATTATCCGCTATAATTTTTGTTATAGGTGATTACTCTAAATAGTTAAAAATTTATAATAAACAATTTTAGGTGAAAGCGTTTTATGTTGTGGTATGTTGTGGCGTGGGTCTGAGAGAAATAACAAATATTGCGCTAACATCCTCTTAATATTATAAGTAAAATTATTTATAATTTATAGTTCTATATTATAATGTAAGATACAAACTAGTTTGGAGTAAAATAAAATTAGAATACTATTACATAAATTAGGCTTATATTAATAATTCACATTTTTGTTCAAAAGTTAATCAACTAAAGTTTTATAAATATGTCAAATATCTCTATACGTTCATTAGAACAATGATAAAATATGAATTTGTATACACAAAAAATAATGAAAGTATGCACAAAAAATATCTTATTTTGTTCCATAAGTATTTTAATTATATTTGGGCATAACATTACATGGGACATAGTCATTTTTTAAATACTTCTTATTTATATTTAATAAAAAAATATACTAACATAAATTAGCAAACATCAATTTCTTTGCTGGTTTTAAACACGATAATATATTGTATATTAATCAACAACCTAGTTTTTTTTTTTAATTAGACTATTTTTCCTTGTTAAGCGAAAAACCTAATTGTATTACTCAGATA